GGGAGGCTGAGGCAGATGGATTGCCTGAGGCCAGGAGTTCAAGACCAGCCTGGCCAACATGGTGAAACCCCTTCTCTACTAAAAATGCAAAAATTAGCTGGGCGTGGTGGCACCAGCCAGTAATCCCAGCTACTGGGGTGGGAAAGGAGGAGCCACACCTTGAATGCCACCCTGTTCCAGGCCAGATCAACCTTAGAAGGCTGAGGATCTGTAAGTAGCTGCCAATAAAACTATTGTGCCTGTGCATCTTTTGGGAAGTCTTAAGCTGTACCCATTTGAAAACACTGATCCCCAGTTCTGCTGTCTGAGTTTCCTACTGGGATCTCCCTCAGGGCAAGAGCAGGGGAGAAACCAGGGAACTGGCAATGTTCCCTCCAGCAGCTGCGAATCACAGCTTCCATTCCCCCTGGCCTCCCACACTCCTTCTTCCTTGCATCTCTCCTTCGCCATCCCACAACTTCTCCCTGTATCAGGATAGTCTGCTAATGAGAACTCAGAACTTAAGTGACGCTATGGTTCAAGACTACGGGTCGCCGGGCATGGTGGCTCAGGCCTGTAATCCCAGCACTTTGGGAGGCTGAGGCGGGTAGATCACGAGGTCAAGAGATTGAGACTATCTATCCTGGTCAACAAGGTGAAACCCCATCTCTACTAAAAATACAAAAATTAGCTGGGCATGGTGGCGCACGCCTGTAGTCCCAGCTACTCGGGAAGCTGAGGCAGGAGAATTGCTTGAACCCAGGAGCAGAGGTTGCAGTGAGCTGAGATCGTGCCATTGCACTCCAGCCTGGGTAACAAGAGCAAAACTCCCTCTCAAAAAAAAAAAAAAAAGACTAAGGGTTATGGGGATTCCCACTCTCTGCTTTGGGGCCCCTCTCCCTCTGTCTCCGTACAGGGGAGCTTCTCTTCCTTCTTGGCCTTTCTTGCCTATTAGACTCTCTGCTCCTTAAAACCACTCCACATGTGTCTGTGTCATTTTACCTAAACTGGCATAAGAACCAAGAATCCTGGTACTCCATTCATCGGAGCAGTACCATTTTGGTGCGTTGGCCGGGAAAGGAAATTAATTCAACAGACTGAGTCAAATAAACTTATTTTAAACTATCTACGGCCTTTAATAATTGAGTAAAGTGTACTCCTATGAACAAACTTTGGAGCATGTTTATTTCTCTGCGTGGTTCATCTAGAATTTGGAAACTATCCAAATCAAGTTTGACATGCAGAAACAATGAAAGCCCCTTGGGGAGAACTGGCCTCATAGCTTGTCTACACAGTCTCTGCACAGGGTTCCTGACCCGTGGTCAGTAAAGAATGTCACTTTCTAACAAGTCTGGGAGCTCTGAGTTTATCCTGGGACTTCAAGAGGAGAGAATCAACCAACTCACAGGTATTTGAGGATACAAACCCGTGGCTGGGCTTGGCTTTAACAGTCTTATCTGAAATTCCTTGTGAAACAGTTTCATCAAAGCCAATCCAAAAGGCCTACATAGAAATAACCATTCTTGCTGCACTTTATGCAAATAATCAGGTCAAGTATAAGACTACGGTTTATTCATAATTTGTTTTTACCAAAAATGAGGACTAGAGAGAAAAATTGTGCTCAAAAATTTATCATACATTGGTCATTAAGTCCTAGTCTCATTCATTGTTTTCAAGCTTTTCTTTCTTTTTTTTTTTTTTTTGAGACATAGTTTCCCTTGTTACCCAGGCTGGAGTGCAATGGCACGATCTCGGCTCACCGCAACCTCGGCCTACTGGGTTCCAGCAATTCTCCTGCCTCAGCCTCCTGAATGGCTGGGATTACAGGCACACGCCACCATGCCCAGCTAATTTTTTGTATTTTTTTTTTTAGTAGAGACAGGGTTTCACCTTGTTGACCTGGATGGTCTCGATCTCCTGACCTCGTGATCCACACGCCTCGGCCTCCCAAAGTGCTGGGATTACAGGCTTGAGCCACCGCGCCAGGCCCCCAAGCTTTTCAACTACAGTTTAGACTGATTCTGCTTATTCCCGTGAATCAAGTAGTGATCTCAGGCAGCTTGGAAGAAAAAATAAAGGATGGGTAATGTAAAAATCTGGATCAATATACTAGCTCTGGGCAATTATCCTGCAAATTCTGCCAGGTAATAAAAGTGAGTGGGGGGGTGGAGAGGGAGGGGAATGTGGGGAAGGATAACATGGGGAGAAATGCCAGATATAGTATGCACCTAAAGTAAAATAAATAAATTATAAAAAAAGAAAAGAAAAGAAAAAGAATGTTTAAGTCAAATACAAAAAAATAAAAATAAATAAATAAATAAAACAAAAACAAGTAGGGTGCCTATAACCCAGAGGTTTCTTTGTTTAGGAAAATAAAACCAAGGAACTTTGTAGATGCCCCTCAAAGGGGAATTCTATAGCTTGACAAGTAAAATTTTAGATGGAAATTATCTACCACACCACACTTAACGGAAATTGCTGTACTCTATTATTTTCAATAGGGTTATACACGGAGCACCTTCTAACTGAAATATTAAACAGTTTCCATTGCTGTCATTTTTTGCTCAATTATTATCCTTATAGCAGGAATAATAGTTATAAAAAGGAAACATGAAAGTTTTGCTATCGCTGAGTCTATAAGACTTTTTATTGGGTTTAGTGATACAGGGTTGTTTTTTTTTTTTTTTTTTGAGACAGAGTCTCTGTAGCCCAGGCAGGATTGCAGTGGTACAGTCTTGGCTCACTGCAACCTCCGCCTCCCGGGTTCTAGTTCAAGCAACTCTCCTGCCTCAGCCTCCCAAGTAGCTGGGATTACAGGCAGGCACCACTATGCCCAGCTAATTTTTGTGCTTTTAGTAAAGACAAGGTTTCACCATATTGGCCAGGCCGGTTTCGAACTCCTGACCTTGTGATCCGCCCACCTCAGCCTCCCAAAATGCTGGGATTACAGGCATGAGCCACCGCACCCGGCTAGTGATGCAGTTTTGAGTGAAACATGCTGCTTTTGGATTAACACACTTTTGGATTAACACCTCCCGTAAAGTAAAGGAAAATCTACAGGTACTTAAAAATCAAATCAAAATTATTGACAGGTTCGGGGGAAAGGCCGGCTTCAGCCGCAAGTGGCTACAATCCCTCTTTAATAAATTCCTCTTTAATAAATTCTTCTTTTTATTTATTTATTTATTTATTTATTTATTTTTATTTTTTTAGATGGAGTTTCGCTGTAGTTACCCAGACTGGAGTGCAATGGCACCATCTCGGCTCACCGCAACCTCCGCCTTCTGGGTTCAAGCAATTCTCCTGCCTAGCCTCCTGAGTAGCTGGGATTACAGGCATGCACCACCATGCCCAGCTAATTTTTGTATTTTTAGTAGAGATGGGGTTTCACCTTGTTGACCAGGATGGTCTCGATTTCTTGATCTTGTGATCCACCTGCCTCGGCCTCCCAAAGTGCTGGGATTATAGGCATGAGCCACCGCGCCCGGCCAATTCCAGTCTTCTTTATGGAATTGATTAACCCCTTTATTAAGCCCTCTCTTGCTTGTATGCCTTGTATTGATATTTGGACCCTGTACTATAGCCTGTTGTAGGAGTTATTAAGAAATTATCTTGCCAGGCACAGTGGCTCATGCCTGTAATCCCAGCACTTTGGGAGGCCTAGGCTGACAGATCACCTGAGGTCAGGAGTTCAAGACCAGCCTGACCAACATGGTGAAACCTTGTCTCTACTAAAAATACAAAATTAGCTGGGCATGGTTGTGGGCTTCTGTATTCCCAGCTACTCGGGAGGCTGAGGCAGGAGAATCACTTGAACCTGGGAGGTGAGGTTGCAGTGAGCAGAGATCGTTGCTCTCCAGCCTGGACAACAAGAGTAAAACTTCTGTCTCAATAAATAAATAAGTAAATAGAAATTATCTTAGGCAGACAGAGAGGAAAAGGGGTCATCGGGAAGCTTTCATTTTTTTAAAGCATCTCCAGAAAAGTTTCTTGTAAACCCCCGGCTCTTAGAGCCAGGCCAGCAACCTTTGATATGCATATGCAAGCCATTAGAAACTGGTCCACCCAAACATGACGATTCTGGCCGCCTTCTTGACCTTTCCCCACTTGATCCTGGCAACATGACCGCCCCCACATATCCTGTAATGTGTAGAACTCTTGGTGCCCTGTATCTGCATATTAGAAGTCTAGGATGGGAGGGCCAGCTTTTTCCGAGGGCTACGTGAATGACAGCTTAGTCAAACCAATCCCCTGAGCCCTATGCAAATCAGACAGTGCCTTCTCCAGCCTCTGTGTATACACCCATCTGGTATCTGTGGCAGGTCAGGGTTCCCTCTCTCCACTTTGGAGCCCCCCTCCCTCTGTCTCTGTACTGGGAGCTTCTTCCTTCTCTCTTCCTTCTTGCCCTTCTTGCCTATTAAACTCTCCACTCCTTGAGAAAAAAATAAGTCGGGCTTGGTGGTTCACGCCTATAATTCCAGCACTTTGGGTGGATCACCTGAGGTCAGGAGTTTGAGACCAGCCTGACCAATATTGTAAAACCCTGTCTCTACTAAAATTACAAACATTAGTCGGGCATGGCAGCATGCACCTGTAGTCCCAGCTACTCAAGAGGCTGAGGCAGGAGAATCTCTTGAACCCAGGAGGCGGAAGTTGCAGTGAGCCAAGATCACACCACTGTACTCCAGCCGGGGCAACAGAATGAGACTCTGTCTCAAAACAGAAAAAAAGACTAAGAGTCATGGTCCTCTCTCGTGGAATTGCAGTGAGGACTAAATGGGACTTATTGTGTGCCTGGAAGTTGAATATGAGTCTAAATCTGGGCTAATAGGGCCTGGAGATGGTGACCTAAGGCCTTTGGCCCTTCATGGAGGGGGATGGAGGGAGGTGCTGGCCCACAGCTGACAGTGCCTGTTGGAATCTGGGAGTCCTGGCTTCTTTCTTGCTCTGCCTTTCAGGTTTTTCTGTGAGATTCTCCTTTGTCACAGGGCCCAGGGCTAAGACCACCAAGGCATAAAACGTTTCCAAGGGGTGGAAAGGTTTTAATGAGCATCCCAAAGGGACGGGGGGGATACAAACTCCAAATCCAGCCTTTATATCACCATTATTTCAGGCAACAGGAGGAGGCTCAGCCTTGCTTAGCTCATTCCCAGATGAAGAGGCAGCTGGAGGGAAGTCCCTGAAAGTGCCTCTCTACCCAGCAGAGGGGCTAGGGGAAAGTGGAGAGGTCTCTGCTGCTGTTCCCACCAAGAGCAGGGAGACCTCAAGCAGCAAGCTGACCTCAAGCAGCAAGCTGAAGGTCAGGACGGACCCAGAATCAGGCAGGAGTTGGGCAGGAACATGAGACACTGGAAGGTTAGATGGGACCGGACAGGTGAGAAAACTCTTAGGGTCCCCAGACAGCATTGAGATCTTATAGAGGGGCCCCAAGGGCCTGCTAACTCCAGGGACTAAGACCTCCCAGGTAGGGAGGTACCCCTAGACTGAGACACTCACAAAGGGACCCCAGTTCAGCAAGGGTCAGAGGAAGGTCTGGAGGGAGAAGAGGGTAAAGGGTCCTGGGTGGGCAAGAGGCTGAGGAGGGAGCCTGGGGAGAACACCAGGGCGGGGCATCAGGCCGGTGTGGCCAGAGGGGTCCTCTAGCTGCTGCTCTGCTGCTCTTGCTCACGGATGAGGTTGGCAATGGGGCCGGTGATGCCGCCTATCAAGGTCCAGTACTCGTCGAAGCTGATGCGCCCATCATGATTGGCATCCAGGTTCTGAATGAGCTTATCTGCAGCCTTCCTGTTCCCTGTGTCCTGGGGAGGAAGCAAGGATCAGCAATGCTGAGGGTGGAAGCCCCAGAGAGACCCCCTAAGCAGAGTCCCAGGATCTGGCATGGACAGCTGCTTCCCTTGGAAAATACAAACACAGTCCTCCCTGGCTAGGCCTGCGCATCCTGAGAAGACAGAGGCCTGGGGGTGGAGGAGACCCCAGAGCTAGGGGAGCTCAGGAAGGATAGAGGCCTCAGCAGGGAAGGATACCCTGAGAAGTTAGAGGCTTGCAGGGGAGGGAAGGGGAGAGGGAGGAAGGCCTTTGGGTGAGAGGCCTTACCGAGAGCATGTGGTTCAGCTCTTTCTGGAGCATCTCACGGAAGCTGCTCTTGCTGATCTTGTTCTTGACCAGGCTGTACTTAGACACATATTTGTAGAAGTTTTCCACCAGGACAATGATCGCCTTCTCCAGCTCAGTGTAGCAGTCTGACATCTCCCTGCTTCGCCTGCTCGCCGGGCCTGGACACCAAAAGGAGGGGAGATGAGAGGAGACCCCTGTTAGGCGTGTCACTCGCGTAGAGACCACCAGGCAGGCTTCGTGTGGGCAATGAAGCCTTTTTATTTCGCACTCAGGTGCAAGTGGGCCAAGTCTGAGAAGGGAGTTAGGCAAGGGAAGTAGGAAAGGGGACTGGTTATGTAGGTTGGGGCAAATGGTTAGTTAAAGGTAGTAATCTATTTTAGGAAGGGGAAGGGCGTCATGGGATACATGGTCACAAGGGTAGGGGTATTATAAGGGTGAGGGTTATTGGTTGCAACCAGAGGGGAGGGTGGGGTAAATTACACAGTTACAGGGGTGGGGGTCCTAAGAAACCCAATGTCCAGGGGGGAGATTTCGAAAGGCTTAGCAGGAGCAATGGTTGCAGGTTGCTGGGGGAGAGCAATTAGTTGAGGCAGGAACAAGTTGTTTCACTTCTCTTTGTGGCCATCTTGTTAATTCAGACTTTCTGGCCCCTGGGGGCCATCCAGAGGTGTACATGGGGGTCACCAAGGCTATAGTGGCCGGGCTTGGACTTGGAGGCCTGACAACCTTCACAGGCCATACCTCCTCCTCCACACCCACCCTAGGCCCTGGGTCCTTCCTCCTCCCCTGCTCCTAGTCCCTGGAGAATAAGGTGGCAGGAAAAGGGAAACACAGAGTGGGTGGGGGAAAGGAGGCGAGCCCTGGAATGAGAACTATGCGGCTCCTCTAATCCAGGTGCTCCCCAGTTCAACCGCCTCAACAGGTTCTCCAGGCCCTGCCCCAGCCCCAGGCACCAGCCCTAGGGAGCAAGATCCCTACTGTCAGAGCCCTAGGGGGCAAGAGGCTCCCATGGGAAGAGAAGAAGGGTCCACCTGCTCTCCCACCCTGCTCTGCAGCTGGCCCACCTCACCTGGGGGCAAGCATGGCTGGGACTGCTGAGATGAGCCATGGAGGATAGAGGGAGAGGCTTCTGCCTCCCACTCCCAGGACTGGCTGAGACCCCAGCCCCAGGCAACAAAGCAGAAAGGAAGACCTAGGCCTTTCCCAAGCCCTTGCCGGGCTCCAGGGCAGTGAGTCCCATGCATCAGGCCCAGGCTGCCCCTTTTGGGAAAGGGCAAAGTCCAGATCCACTGGATCAGATTTTATGCGGCTCTCCCACCACCCCCCGCCACACCCTGCTAGCCTCTCCTCCCTTACGCCCATCCCTAAATACACAGCAGCACCGAAGAACACCCTCGTCCGCTTTACCTAAGGCGGGGCCAGGCCCTGTTCTGCCCCAGCAGGAGACGGACCCTGGACACAGCAGACTGCCAGAGGGCACATGCGTCACCCCCTCACCCCAGGACAAAAGACACTTTCCAAGCGGATACAGCCTTCTGAATAACAGGATATGAGGGGAGCAGGCGGGTCTGGATCGCCTCTGTGAGTCACAGCCCATGCCCAGAACCCCGGCCCGTCAAACTGAAGAAATCAGACTCCCTTCCCACCCCCAAGCCCAGGAATGAGCTCCCGCCACCCTCGCCTGGCAGGTCCTGACGGAAGGAGATGGACAAAGCAGGGACACAGCCACCACAGGGGCCTGAGCGAGCCACAGTCAGATTTGGAAGGAAAGGCTGCTCCATCAGGCCCCACCACAGCCTCCTGTCCTGCCACCTGCTTCCCATTGGCCCCCCATGGCCATTCCTACTCCCATGCAGGCTGCCCTGCCCTCTCCAGCCAGCTGAAGCCTGCCCATCACTCCGTCCCTGCCCAAACCACACCTCCAAGGGGAGCCAGCCTCGACCCCTGCCCTGGTCGCCGTCCTCGCTGATTCCCACAGTCATGGGTGTCATCAGCACTCAGCTAGCACTGGCGGGGGCCCACTAACTGGTGAGGCCACACCGTCTTGCTGGGTCTTGTCTTGTTCCTTGAGACAACCATAGTTTTGCTTAAACATACATGGCCAATGTATTTTCTGAACTAAATGGCAGGACTCATAGACTTGTCTTTAAATCCTGGATATACACGGTCCCCTGCTTTTAATCTCTGCATCTCTCAAGCCCACATTGCCTGGCCTGATGCCTTGCTCAAGGTAGACGTTCTAGAAATATTCCACCTCCTTCCAGCCCTCATAACAGGTATCGCAGGTCCCTGATCACCTTTTAAGCTTTTTCTTTAATGAAGCCTCTTTTGAAGTAAGGGTGGGACCAGGAGGGGATAGGCCAGGAAGCAAGAAGGAAGGAGAGTTAAGTGGGAGACTCAGGCTGTGGCTTCTCTGAGGGAAAATCCTGCCCTTGTCTCCCCTTCTCTGTCTGCCTTAACCCTCTGGCCCCTGGCTGGGAGGATGCAACATGGTACCAGAACTGCAGGAAGCCACACTCTTTTCCATATTCTTTTTTTTTTTTTTTTTTTGAGACGGACTTTCGCTGTCGTTACCCAGACTGGAGTGCAATGGCACGATCTCGGCTCACCGCAACCTCTGCCTTCTGGGTTCAAGCAATTCTCCTGCCTCAGCCTCCCGAGTAGCTGGGACTACAGGCGTGCACCACCATGCCCAGCTAAATTTTGTGTTTTTAGTAGAGACGGGATTTCACCTTGTTGACCAGGATGGGCTCAATCTCTTGACCTCGTGATCCACCCGCCTCAGCCTCCCAAAGTGCTGGGATTACAGGCGTGAGCCAGCGCGCCCGGCCCTGTTGTAAGACTTTCATACAAACTCTTTACCATTTACAAACGAGGAGGAAGACCATTGTTTAACCCATGGTCTGTCTGCTGTGCCATCCTTGGGTTGGAGGTGGCTCAGGTTCATGACCAATGTTCCAGGTGATTCTGAAAACCGTGCCCTTTTCTGGAAGGACTGTGCCAAGCCAATTCCCAACCAAGCCTTGGGAATGGGATGATAATTCAGAGAACATTCCCACACTTAACCATCCCAGTCCTTGTTCCCTAAGTGAGGGATCTTGTGGGAAATGGTCAGGGAGAGGAAGAAGGAAGGAAATGTGTGCCCCTCTTCCCACAGGCCAGCCAACCTCTCCCAGCACCAGCCTTCTTGGAGTCATTTCTCTGAGCTGTCTCCTCCTGGTCTTCCTCGATATCGTGACCCAACCCCTGCCTGGCCTCCAGCAGCAGCCAAGCGGACAAGACACAGGTAAGCCTCAGAGTATGACTCTGCCACCTGCTCCCAGGAGTACTGGGAGACCCAGAGCGGGAGCTCCAGCACCTCAGGGCTTCAGCTCCCAGCTCCTCCTCCCAGGAATCTGCCCCTCCCCACCTTCTGTAAAATGGACCATGCTGGAGATAACATCTGACAAGTGCTTTTCTGGAGCTTTTTCTAAAGGAAGGTTAGGATAGCACAGGCAAGGAGCATTACCCTCCTCCACCTCCCTCCCCTTAAGGCCAGAAGACAGGATCTGCCACCCTACCCATCCCTCAGCCACCTGCTCCCCCAGGCTGCCCCATTCCCCCACCAGCCAGGGCCCAGGTCTCCTGGGTAGGGGGTTGGGCAGATGTTCTAGACCATCAGCCCCTTCCTAGAGAGGTCAAGCAGGAGGTCATCCCTGCATTGGCCCTGCCACACAAAGGTCCTGGCCTGAGAGAACAGTGTAGAGTGGAGCCTTTTAGAAATGTGGGAACAGGAGAACCACGTGTCCTCCAATGGGCCCTCTCACCTCAGGCCTCCAGCCCTACCCCAGGGTTCTCATTGTCTTCCTCTGGGCTGATTCATCACTGAGCAACCAGCAGTCTCCCACCCCCACCCCACCCACCTCAGCCCAGCTTGCTGACTTCTCCAAAAGCCCAAATTGCCCTGACACCATGCCCCTGGATCCCAGCCACTCCAGCCCCACCCTCCCACCCCCAGGTTTGGGCCCCACACCCTCCAAATGCCTTCTAACCACCCACCACATCCCCAGGCTCCTTCCACCTGGAGTCCCGAATGTCCACCACACCCTCTTAAATCCACTTTCTCTTCCCACCCCACACACACCTCTTGAGTCTTACATTTTTTCCAAGTGTTGGGATATGTCCCTAGACCCCTGTCCCTCCTAGTCACCGTTCTCTCCAGAGTCTAGCCCACTGTCAAGCCTACATGTGGATTCTCTGTGTCCCTTCCAGCCACCTGGAATTCATTCGCTCACTCAGGCACCATGGTTTGCTTACTCATTCATTCATTGGATCATTTATTCACTCTCATTCATTCTCTTGCCCGTTCAATCATGCATTCACTCTCTTGCACACTCATTCATTCATTCCTTTTTTCATTTACTCATTTGTCCCCTCTGCCTTCAGTAGACAGGGAAGGTGCTATCCGAACTGGGCTGACAATGCCACCTCTATCACAAGGCTGTTCCAAAGGAAATCTCTCCAGCCTCAGCTGTTCCATTCTCTGCTCCTTCCTGTGTTCCTTCTCCAGTTTCACGAGGCCCTCTCCAGAAACAGTTCCTGGAGCACGGTGGGGCCTGCTTTGGCCGAGAGGTAGGCCCCCGGCCTCACCCTCACCATCCTCCTGCATCTAATTCGCGCGTGCACACACACACACACTCACACACTCACACACACACACAGCTAGGACCTCTGCCATTCCTGATCCCCTCTGCCTGGGTAACCCATCGCCCTTCCACTTACTTCAGCTCTTGGAGCAAGAAGCCAGCCTCTGAAATTTTTCCGGACAAGTGAAGTTGGAAGCGTTTGGTGAGGTTCCTGCCTCCATCCCCACCCCCAACACACACACAGCTGCCCTAGCCTCACCAACACCTACTAGAACCTGGGGAAAGGCGGAGCCGGCTCCCCAACACCCCTGCCCTCACCCCCATCGCGACTGGGCTGGGCCGGGCCGGGGAAGGCTCCCATGGTGCAGGTGGCTCTGCCAAGCAAAGCAAGTCAAGCTGGGGCCTGCCCGGGGCCCGAGGTGGAGAAGCCGCTCTCCCTCTACCTCTCCCCCTTCCAGGGAGCTTGCAGGCTCGGAACAGCCCCGCTCGGGTTCCTCCCGGATCTCATCCCTCTCAAGGAACAGCTCCTGCAACACAGCAGGGCCTGCTTGGGTCGGGAGGTAGAGGAGGCGCCACCTCAGCCCCTGCGTCCCCTTTGCCAGAATCTCCGGCTCCCTGGGACCTGCCTGGTTCCCTCTGGACCTCATCTCGTCTCCCAGGACACAGCTCCCAGAGCCCAGCAAGGCCTGTGTCTAAGCTCTGACCACCCCCAACCAGACCAACACGCATTTGGCCTCTTCTGTTGGGGAGGGTCACGCAGCTGTGGGCAAAGCTTCCAAACGGCGCTCGGAGCTCGGTTGGCTGCTGTGCCAGGGAGGGGAGTCTCACCATCCCACCCAGCCCTCTGAAGGCCTCCCCCAGCCCCCAACCCCTCAGGACTGCCCATTCCCAAACTGGCCTGTGGGGGAAAGTTAATAATTACCGAAATCTTCCTGCCCGGTCTCTGGCAGGCCCCTCTCCTCAGGCCCCCTTCGCTGTCCCCTCTCCTGGCCTCCCAAGACTGTGGGGCCCTCCGGCAGCCACAGACCTCCCAGGCCGGGCCTGGGTGCTCACCTGCTGCCTCCGTCTGCCTCCTCTCCAGCAGGGCTCTGGGGCCTCGGCTCTGGCACTGCCAAGCAGCTCCCTGCGCTCAGCCCGGCTGGGACTCCTCCCCGCTGCACTCCCAGAATCTGTCCCACTCCCTCCTGGCCCTGCCCGCCGAGCTGGCTCGGTGGGGAGGTAGTGGCTGAGCTCGGTCTTAATTTGGCCCTGGGGTTGGGCCCTTGTTAAAGGGATACACACCTTTTCTCACACCCCCCTACCTCTATCCCAGAGGGAGTGGTGGAAGCTGGCAGTCCCCCAACCCCACCCTCCCAGCCCTGCAGGAACTGAACAGAACCTGACAGGGTAGAGAAAGGAAGGGAAGGACTGTCACCTGCCTTTCTCACCTGGGTCACCGGGAGCCCAGTTTCAGTGGCTCGCAACAGACAAGTTCAGTTATCATTCCAGGCCAGCCTAACTGGCCACAGACACCTCCTTGCCATTGGGATTTCAGGAGTAACGCCCGACTTCAGTGTTCAAATCAGAAGGCAGATGCCAGGGACCTGTCTGGCTCCCTGGTCTTCTGTCTCCAGTCTGGCCCAGCAGCTCTTCTGAGACCCAGCCCTAAAAGCCCTCGTGTATACCAGGGGACTCCTCTGGAAACTCCCCACACCCCACTGTTTCCCTAAGATACCCAGGGAAACTGGCCAGCTCGACCTCCCTACACTGGGGCAGCTGCTGAAACCAAAGAGGGGCCCCCTGGCCCACTCCAGCAGTAATGACATTGGTTTCTCAGGCACTTGCCGTGCATCCGGCTCTCTGATAAGTGCTTTACCCGTGTGGCACTGTCCTCTTAGCAATCCTGTAATATTCATATACCCCATTTACAGATGAGGAAACTGATACTAAGAGTGTGCCCAAAATTCCAATAAGGCAGATCTGAGATTCAAACTCAGGCCAGTCAGCCTGTTTCTCACCCCCCACCCCCACCCACCCCATTTCCCCTTGTTATGTCAGCCAGGGCTCAGAACACCTGGGATAATATCCTTTCCCCAAGTGTGCACACATGCCCTCCTCTCCTATAAGACAACCCTCCCCCTGGCAAAGAGGAGCCGTTCCCTCAGAGAGGACTACATCACCCCTTTGGGCCTGGTAAGACCCTCAACCCAAATTCGTGGGTAAAGAGAGTCCCCGTTCACTCCCACTGCCAACCACTCCAGCCCCACATGCCCCACCCTACTGATGGCTCTGCCATTGACCCCCAAGCTCTCCTCACTCATGGACCCTGGGGAAGGGGCTGTCCAGTCAAGACAACATCTTTCACTTTTTTCATTATTTTTTATTAATCAAATGATACAAAACAACCATCATTCTGTCAATGCCCAAGCACCCAGCTGGTCCTCTCCCCGCATGTCATACCCTCCTCAGCCTCCTCTCCCCGCACCCTGCTCTCCTTCCTCCCCACCCTAGCCCAAGGACGGAGTCTAGGAGGAGCCTGGGGCAGAGCAGGAGGCAGGAAGAGAGCAGCGGATGGACAGCTATGGTTTGCGTTGGGGAAGAGATTAGGAGGTAGGTTCTTAAAGACCCTTTTTAAATACCAGATATCCAGCCATGTTCCCAGCTCCATTCTTCAAATCATTTCCCATAGCCCAGCTCCTCTCTGTTTTCCCCCTACTACCAGTTCTTTGGCTCTTACACAATTTTTATACCTCCGGCATCCCTCAAATATTCATCCCTGGCCCAATCAGTTCCCTGAGCCTCCCTCTGGTGGGGACTCCTGCACCCGTGAGCTCCACAGAGCACTCAAGACAGAATTACACAGAGACCTGGGGAAGGCCATTAGAAGCTGAATGCTGCAGAGATGCGGAGAGGAGCAGGCTAGGGAACAGGTGGTGGCAGAGGAGAGAAGTTTTCTTTCCAGGCCCACAGTCTCTCCCCAGCACCCCCCAGAATTTCAGGGGGAGTCCTCAGCTCCCCCGGACAGGGCTCTTCAGCTTCACACTCTTGGCCGCTTCTCCAATCAGCTCCCAGAAACTCCCAAACTCCAGTTTGGAGTCGTTGCAGCTGCCCAGGTTGGCAATTTTCTCTTCCAGGCCACAGTTGCTCTGAGGACAGTGAAGACACCAGGGCTCAGGGAGGCCACACTTTCAGATCTTCCCACCCCACCCTGCCCAGGGGCAGATGGCAAAAGCAGGGCCTACCCAGCACTGGCGGGGAACGGTGAGGGGTTGCAAGTGCCAGTGTGGGTGGGATCCAGGAGCACTGGCTTGGGAAGTCAGGGGACTGGCTGGGTGGGGTGTGCTCCCTCTGTACCGGCATAAGGTGGGGCAGCTGCTGGGTGACCAGGTCCCGTAGCTCGGAAGGGGTCAGCGTCTCCTTCCCACCCTCCACGGAGTACTGGTGGAAGTTCTTGATAAGGGTCTCAATGGCCCTCTCCACATCACTGAATTCCTGAGCATCCTGAGGACAGGGGACATCACCCACATCAATGAAACTCCATGCACCCTGTGACACCTTGCTTCCCCAGGAGCCGGGCAAAGCCCACAGGGCAGAAGAAAGCTGGAAGGCACACAGCTCCCACCCACTCCAGAGCCCAGAACCTGGCCTCTCTCCCCCACCCCCGGCTCGGCCTCCAGGCCACAGCGGCCACAGGTTGGGCAAGGCTTCCCTCCCCACACCCCCCAGCTGCAGCCAGAGCAGGTCCCAGCATGCACCCAGGCATCCTCTTCCCAGGAGGACTCCATCTGCATCACCCTGTGTGGGCCTCAGGAGGGGGTTCACATCTCATTGGCAGGGTCTGGGATGCAGGGCACGGCCAAGGTGAAGGGCAGAAGTCAGTGGGGGACATAGACCCTCAGGGTGAAGGAAAGGAGTGTGGAAGCAGAAAGGCTGGAGTGAATGAGCCCACCTCCGCATTGGCTGACCGGCACTGTCCCATGGTGCCCGCTGCGGCTGGTCCTTTGGTGAGAGTTCTGTCGTCCTATAGCTGGCCCCAGAGGAGGTGATGGCTCATGATCTGCCTAGAGGAGGGGGCAGGACTGAGGTAAGGGGAGAGTCTAGCATTTCTTTCTCAACTGCCCCCTTTTGCTCCACCTCCGATATTCTATACCTCCCCATGGGGTCAAAACGAACTCCACACAGGCCCAGGCTCCCCCTGAGTTTCGAGAGCCAAGATCACATCCCCAGGCCAGTGCATCTGGGGGACTCCCTTGGGCCTCACCCTAGCTTCATTCTTTCCACCTCCTCCAACCACCCACCTCTGCTTGAAACACACACGCCAACCTCCAGTATCTGATCCCCTAGCCCTTACCCTAAGCGTGCCCTCTGGACAGGAGGCAGTAAATGCGGGTGAAAAGCCCTGGGTTTCCTTACCTGCTGACAGCCGCTGAGACAGGGCAGGAGGAACCAGCTCACCTGAGCTCAGCTCTTATACCTGGGGGAAGGGAGGGGAGGCAGGGGGCTGGGCCTAAGCCACCCCTGCTATTGCAGCAGCCTGGGCTCTGAGCCAGCTTTATGGGCCCCACCCTCCACTGGCCAGAGTTCCAGAGCCCTTCCCGACCCTGCCATGAGGAGGGAGCCACAGAGAGCTGGGGCTGGGAAGACCCTGGCCTCAGATAAGCATGCAGAGTCATAGAGAAAGAGAGGCCAGAAGGCTAGGGAGACAAGGAGGGCTTGGAGACCCCATGGGGTCACCCTATGAAGTGGAAGGGCCCTGGGGAACCGTAATGCAGGGAAGGAGAAGGGGGCTGAATCTGTAACCAAGAAAGGAAAAGCAGGAGCCTCTGTACACTCCGTGTGTGGCTGTCTGTCTGAATGTTTCTCTCTCTCTCTCTCTCTCTCTTTCTCTCTCTCTCTCTCTCTCTCTCACACACACACACACACACACACACACACACACACACACGAGCGCGCGCGCTCCTCCCAGCCAGGCACAGTTTGGATACTGACACACAAGCCTGCTGGATCCCGGAGCCCAGCCTTTACCAGTCCTGGAGGCAGAGAGATGAATGGATAGAACTCAGATCAGGAGGAAGAAGCCAGAGAAGGGCAGCCTGGTGGAGGGAGGCAGACGGAGTGAGTGTTGGCCTGACCCCCTTCAGCTCCCCTCAGGCGCCCAGAGTGCACAAATGCCAGGCCCACTTGGGCTGCTTGGCAGCTACCGCCCACTCCAAACTGGTTGGGCCACGTGCTTCTCCCTCCCTCCCTCAGAGCCCCATGCCTCCCCTAACCCAGCTGCAGAGCAACACCCCCCCATCCAGTACCCAAAAGCCCCCCATCCATCCCGGAGAGCCTAACCCCAGTGGCCCTCCTCACCTGCCCAGGCCCAGACACCTAGAACCTGAAGTCACTGGGAGGGGGTAGAAAGAAGGGCAGGGCAGGTGGCATGAGTCAGGGCAAGGATGGGGTGTGGCCCAGAGCCAAAGTTCCTGGGATCCTTTCCCGAACGCTGAGATCAGAGCACACCCAACTGCGTCCCTCCCGCTGTCACATTCTCAACCCAGGGCCCTCTGTGTCTCAATGGAGAGGACCTTCCAGTAGTGTCTCATTCAGAGATTTCCTCTGAAGGGCTTCAACCTGCAGGTCCCTCTGAGGGTCTCTCAGCCTGTGGGCTCCTCTGAGAGTGACTCAGCCCGGGTTCCCCTGGAGGAGGCTCAGTCTGGGGTTCCCTCACAGGGCTTCTCATGGTGAGGGAGCCCTTCAGTGCAAGAGCCCCTCTGGAATGACTCCACCAATGGCCCTTTAGATTCCCAGTCTGGGGGTCCCTCTGAGGGCTCAGTCTGGGACCCTCTCTTGGTGTGTGACAGAGAGCTCCCTCAGCCTAAAGGTTCCTCTGGACTCATAGCTACCCCACGTGGATGCCTGCCAGTGAGGCCGTGACAGCCCTGGGGGGCCGGCCATTGAGCTGCCTGCCCCTGCTCCCTCTGGTGGTGGCCGTGCCCACCATATGCACCTCAAGCCAGGAAGGCAAGTTCTGCCTCCGGTGACACCACCACACCCTCACCCCAGGGTCCTTGAGCAGAGCAGCAGGCCCCTCCTTTTGCTTCCCCGCTGCTCCAGAGGGTAAGGGGAGGAGGGTCTATTGTTTCTGAGCACCCAGCCAGAGAATCCTGGTTAATCAGAGCTCTGGAATCCACCTATTCTTGTCTTTAAGACTTTAGCAGGTTGGGCACAGTGGCTCACACCTGTAATCCCAGCACTTTGGCCAAGGTGGGTGGATCACGAGGTCAGGAGATTAAGACCAGCCTGGCCAACATGTTGAAATCCCGCCTCTACTAAAAACACAAAAATTAGCCGGGCATGGTGGCATGCACCTGTAATCCCAGCTACTTGGGAAGCTGAGGCAAGAGAATCACTTGAACCCAAGAGGTGGAGGTTGCAGGGAGCTGAGATCATGCTACTGTACTCCAGCCTGGGCAACAGAGCAAGACTCCATCTCAAAAAAAAAAAAAAATTATCTACGATCTGTGTCCTGATCTTTAATACAGGAGTTAAAAATCGTGCCTTCCTCAAAGGGCTGTGAGAATTAACTAAGATAATGCAGGCAAAATGTTTAGCACTGTGCCTGGTACTTAGTAAGCCCCCCATACATGTTTACCACTATCACTGTCACCCACAGGACACACTCCAGGATAAAGGAAGCAGAGCAGGACCATGCAGCTGAGCCCTGAGTCATCTTACTGCCCTACAGCTCTGCCTCTACTTTTCTTTTTAAGATAAGTCTCTCTCTTGTCCCCCCAGCTGGAATACAGTAGCGTACTCTTGGCTCACTGCAACCTCTCCCTCCTGGGTTCAAGCAATTCTCCTGCCCCAGCCATCCAAGTAGCTGGGACTACAGTTGCCCACCACCACTCCTGGCTAATTTTTGTATTTTTAGTAGAGACGGGGCTTCATCATGTTGGCCAGGCTGGTCTTCAACTCCTGACCTCATGATCCACCCACCTCAGCCTCCCAAAGTGCAGGGATTACAGGCGGGAGCCAACACACCTGGTCTTTTTTTTGAAATGGAGTTTCACTCCTGTCCCCAAGGCTGGATTGCAATGGTGAGATCTCGGCTCACTGCAAACTCCTCCTCCTGTGTTCAAGTGATTCTCCTGCCTCAGCCTCCTGAGTAGCTGGGATTAAAGGTGCCAGCCACCATGCCCAGCTAATTTTTGTATTTTTAGTAGAGATGAGGTTTCACCATGTTGGCCAGGCTGGTCTTGAACTCCTGACCTCAAGTGATCACACACCTTGGCCTCCCAAAATTCTAGGATTACCGGCATAAGCCACCACGCCTGGCCCTCTGCCTCTACTTTTCAGATACTCATTCAACCACTTATTGAGCACCTGATCTGAGTAAGACATGGTACTAGATGGTGGAGAATGGTCAAAGACAAATAACATTCTCTGTCCTCAAGGGGCTCATAATTTTCGGATCCATCCTCAGGTCAAGAGAGAGCTTTCCCACCCCCGGTCTCAAGAAACGAAATCAGGGTGGGGTGCGAGCAGGAAACATTTGTGTTTCATAGAGGAAGCTTTATTTGGGGAGAATGTGGTTCTGCTCGGCCCTGACCAGTCCTGCTCTGCCCACCCCCATCCCAGCCAGTTGGCTTTACTTCTTCCGGCCCTTCTTCTTCTTCATTTCCTTGGCCAGCTCCCCAATCAGTCTCCAGTACTCATTGAACTTGAGCTCCGAGTCCTGATTTATATCCAAGCTCTTCATCTTCTCATCAAGGGAGCCCACATCCTGAGGAGACACCAAAGGGAAAGGCAGAATTAGAAACTGGGATTCTTAGGCCAGGTGCAGTGGCTCATACCTGTAATCCCAGTACTTTGGGAGGCTGAGATGGGTGGATCACGAAGTTAGGAGTTTGAGACCAGCCTGACCAACATGGTGAAACCCCACCTCTACTAAAAATACAAAATTCGATGGGTGTGGTGCTGCGTACCTGTAATCCCAGCTACTCGGGAGGCTGAATCAGAAGAATCGCTTGAATCTGGGAGGCTGAGGTTACAGTGAGCCAAGATGACACTAACCACTACACTCCAGCCTGGGTGACAGAGCGAGACTCTGTCTCAAAAACAAAAAAGAAAAGAAAAAAAGAAATTGGGGTTCTTGAGACCCCCCAAGAACCCCAATTAGGGAAGGAAGAATTGCCAGCTGCCATTCTCTCAAGGCCCTTCCTCAGAGAGCAGCAGTGCCTGCCTCTTCTCTAAAAAGCAAGGCCGCAGCCCCGAGACTGCACTGCTGCAGGGTGCGTCTCCAAGGAGCACCAGCAGAGAGAGGTGGGGGGCTGAGTCCTAGGGCTTGCCATTGTGTAAATGCTTCCGCCATGGCCACTTACACCACAAACAGGTTGTCAGTGAATGCAAAGTGGAAAGATTTCACACAATCTGCTCTGACCAGCACACCACCGCAGCTGCTGTGCAATGGGCCCAAGGATTTGCCGGCATCTCAAGGAGATGCTGCTGGGTTGGACCCAGTCTGAGCCTTCTGGGACCACCTCCTCTTTCTCAGAAAGCTGGAGAAGCTCCCGGTACTTAGCTGCTCCTTTGCACAACCCTTGTGTCTTCTCATTTCTCCAGCTAGGTCACTAGATCAGGGGAATGGTGAAGACGTTGGGTATCTGGGCTTTTAGGGGGCCCTTTTAGAGTCTCTCCCATAGGCCTATGAAATCAATGGCAACAGTAAACTGGATGTCCTGATAAACAGTAAACTTGTTGCCAGATAAACAAGCACATCCAAAACGTGGACTGTTGAACAATAGTTCAACATCAAACCAGAGAAGGGTGCCCTAGGCAGGGTGTGATGCTCAAGGTTTGAACCAACACTTGGATGCAGACAGAGAAGACTCACTGAATCTCTAAAGGGAACAAGGCTGATTCATAGAGCGCTAAAAAAGACTTTTTTTTAAAGTTACAACCATGCTTAATTATAAAATACTATAAGCACTGCCAGTGGAAGGCAAGGATGGCTACTGTAACATCATATTGGGGATGCATTCAATTAGTAAAGAGAAAGAAATAAGTATTAAGAAGGAAGAAGCGGCTGGGTGCGGTGGCTCAAGCCTGTAATCCGCACTTTGGGAGGCCGAGGTGGGTGGATCACGAGGTCAAGAGACCATCCTGGTTAACATGGTGAAACCCCATCTCTACTAAAAATCAAAAAATTAGCTGGGCATGGTGGCGCGTGCCTGTAATCCCAGCTACTCAGGAGGCTGAGGCGGGAGAATTGCTTAAACCCAGGAGGCGGAGGTTGCGGTGAGCTGAGTGCCATTGCACTCTAGCCTGGGTAACAAGAGCAAAACTCCATCTCAAAAAAAAAAAAAGAAGAAGGAAGAAGCAGGAGGGGTGCAGTGGCTCACGCCTGTAATCCCAACACTTTGGGAGGCTGAGGCAGGCGGATCACTTGAGGTCAGGAGTTTGAGACCTGTCTGGCCAATAAAGTGAAACCCTGTCTCTACTAAAAATACAAAAATTAGGCAGGCCAGGCATGGTGGCTCACACCTGTAATCCCAGCACTTTGAGAGGCCAAGGTGGGCGGATCACCTGAGATCAGGAGTTTGAGACCAACCTAGGCAACGTGGTGAAACCCTGTCTCCACTAAAAATACAAAAATTAGCCAGGTGTTGTGGTGGGTGCCTGCAATCCCACCTATTCGGGAGTCTGAGGCAGGAGAATCACTTGAACCTGGGAGGCAGAAGTTGTGGTAAGCCAAGATCGAGCCATTGCACTCCAGCCTGGCCTACAGAGTGGGACTTTGTCTCAAAAAAAGAAAAAAAAATACAAAAATTAGCTGGGTGTGGTAGTGCACACTTGTAGTCCCAGCTGAGCCAAGATCAAGCCACTGTACTCCAGCCTAGGTGACAGAGTGAGACTCTGTCTCAAAAAAAAAGGAGCTGTGACAGAAATGAAACAAAGACCAAATACCAAACACCATGTCAGTATCAATGGGTTTCGCAGCCCTGGATTCAAGCAACCCAGGACCAAGAATATTTGAAGAAAAAATTCCTCAAAGTCCCAAAAAGCAAAACTTGAATTTTGCCACATGCTAAGTACTACGTTGAATCTATGTGAATGAAGTGATGAGTAGGCATCGCATTACATATTACGGGTAACCTAGAGTTACTTGTGATTTAAAGCATATGGGAGGATGTGCATAGGTTATATGCAAATACTATCTCCACATACTGAGACCCTATCTCTACAAAAAAAGGTACTTGAGCATCTAAGGATTTTGGTATCTGAGGGGGTCCTGGAACCAATTCCCATGGATATGAAATGACAACTATGTATTTCATATTATACCACAGGGATATAAAAAACTTGCATAGCTGGAAAATTGAATAAATACATATTTTTCTTAAAGAGAAAGGCTCAATCAGGTAAAAATGTCAATTTCCCTAAAATACATCTTTTATATGATCCCAATTAAAATATGTACAGGATGCCTTTTTTTTTTTTTTTTTTGAGATGGAGTCTTGCTTTGTTGCCCATGCTGGAATGCAATGGTACGATCTCAGCTCACTGCAACTTCCGCCTCCTGGATTCAAGCAATTCTTCTGCCTCAGCCTCCCAAATAGCTGGGATTACAGGCACCCACAACCATGCCCAACTAATTTTTTGTATTTTTAGTAGCGGTGGGGTTTCACCGTGTTGGCCAGGCCGGACATGAACTCCTGACCTCAGGTGATCCACCTGCCTCCGCCTCCCAAAGTGCTGGGATTACAGGTGTGAGCCTGTGCGCCCGGCCTACAGGATCCTTTTTAACATTATAAAATGTTACTGTCTGGGGACAGTGGCTCACACCTGCAATTCCAAAATTTTGGGAGGCCGGGGCAGGGTGACCGTTCGAGGTCAGAAGTTCAAAACCAGCCTGGCCAACATGATGAAACCCCGTCTCTACTAAAAATGCAAAAATTAGCCAGGTGTGGTGACACGTGCCCATAGTTCCAGCTACTTGGGAGGCTGAAGCAGGAGAAGCTTGAACCCAAGAGGTGGAAGTTGCAGTGAGCAGAGATCACACCACTGCACTCCAGCCTGGGTAACAGAGTGTGACCTAGTCTCTTTTTTTTTTCTTTTTTTTCTTTTTGTTTTTGTTTTCATTCGTATAGTATCCTGGAATTCAAGACCTCATCTCAAAAAAAAAAAAAAATTCAAGTCCCATTTCACTCAGAATTATATAAGCATAAATCAGGGGAAAAAAACGCCATTTTCATAAAGTAGATTAGCAAAAATTAAAAGCTCAATAATACCCAGTTTGGACAAGTATACGGGCATCACATGAAGTGTATGTGGCCATATAAACTGGTACAACCTTTTTTGGAGGCAAATTGGTAATGTTCCTAAAAATTAAAAATGAAGGCCAGTCTCAGCGGCTCACCCCTGTAATTCCAGCATTTTGGGAGATTGAAGCAAGCAGATCACTTGAGGTCAGGAGTTCAAGACCAACCTGGCCAACATGGTGAAACCCCATCTCTACTAAAAATATAAAAATTAGCTGGGCTTGGTGGCTCAAGCCAATAGTCCCAGCTACTCAGGGAGGCTGAGGCAGGAGGATCACTTGAACCTGGGAGGTGGAGGTTGCAGTGAGCCAAGATCACGCCACTGCACTCCAGCCTGGGCAACAGAGCGAGACTCTGTCTCAAAAAAAAAAAAAAAAAAAAATTAAAAATGAACATGCCACTTAAACTAATATTTCTACTGCCAGACATTTACTTTATGTTGTTATTTTCCTGCCAGTATATAGGTATACAAACAAGGATATTTGCAAGAAGGAAGAAATAACCATAAGAAAAATTCCCATCAATAAAGGATTGGGCTGGGCATAGTGGCTCATGCCTGTAATCCCAACACGTTGGGAGGCCAGGGCAGGAGGATCACTTAAGCCTAGGAGTTCAAGACCAGCCTGGGCAATATAATGAGGCCCTGTCTCCACAAAAAAATTAAAAAATGAGGCCTGTTTTCCTATGTGTGAAGTGAGGAATGTGGACTGTGTTTTCTCTTGGCCTCCTTCTAGCTGTGATGGTCTGTGAATCTCCTGGAAGCCAGCTCTGGGTCCAGTCCTATCTTGGGGAAATTAGACCAGAAAGGCACAGAGTATACATGAAACCCAACAGCATCATGGGCTGATACAAGCCCATACTCCCACTGACCCACAGTATCTTTGCTTACCTAATTACATGTATGCACACACACACAGGCCCTGTCTCTAAAAACAAATTTTTTTAAATTAGCTGGACATAGTGGCACATGCCTATGGTCCCAGCTACTCAGAAGACTGAGATGGAAGGATCACTTGAGCCCAGGAGGTGGAGGTTGCAGTGAGCTGTGATCTTGCCACAGCACTCCAGCCTGGGCCACAAAGTGAGAGCTTGTATTAGTTGTAAGCTGATAAGGAGGATACAATGGAGAGGGAAAAAGAAAGGAGTTGGCCAGGCGCAATGGCTCAAGCCTGTAATCCCAGCACTTTAGGAGGCCAAGGCAGGTGGATCACAAGGTCAGGAGGTCAAGACCATCCTGGCCAAAATGGTGAAACCCCATCTCTACTAAAACTACAAAAATTAGCCAGGCACGGCATGCACTTGAAATCCCAGATACTTGGGAGGCTAAGGCAGGAGAATCCCTTGAACCCAGGAGATTGCAATGAGCCAAGATTGTGCCACTGCACTCTACCCTGGATGACAGAGTGAGATTCCATCTCAAAAAAAAAAAGAAAGAAAGAAAGAAAAGAAAAAGAAAAAAGAAACAGAGGAGTAATTTCAAGAGAAAAGTCTTTAAGTAGGTGAGAGGGGATGGGATCCAGGGCACCAGTGAAGGGTTGGCCTTAGGAACAGTGGTAGATCATTTGCATAACAGGAAAGACAGCAGATTTCCAGGAGGGCAGGGAGCTTGTACAAGTTTCCTGATTGCTCCTATTTTCTTTCTTTCTTTCTTTCCTTCTCCTTTCTTTCTCCTTCCTTCCTTCCTTCCTTTCTCTTTCTTTCTTTGACAGAATCTTGATCTGTTGTCCAGGCTGGAAGGCAGTGGGGCAACCTCAGCTCACTGCAACCTCCGCCTCCCGAGGTCAAGCAATTTTCTTGCCTCAGCCTCCTGAGTAGCTGGGATTACAGGCCCACACTACAATGCCCAGTTAATTTTTTTTTTAATGTTTTTAGCAGAGATGGGGTTTCACCCTGTTGGCCAGGCTGGTCTCAAACTCCTGAACTTCTCAGTCTGTAAACCTCTCAAGAAAAGGGAAAATGTGAAAAGACATACTGGGCTTTGAGGAGAGAAGACAAACTGTGAAATAATCATCTATCTGAAAGAAGTGGTAAATGAATCCCCCGGGGAAACATAGTAGAACCGCCAGCCATTGCCAAGGGTCCCTTTTGGGGTCTGTGTTTATCGATTTAAAGTGAGACAAGCCAACAAAGCTGTGCACTTTTCTCCAGCCAGATTCAGCCATCCAGGTGGATTTAACCGGCAAGTTGCTGGAGGTGAAATGTTGGATTAACTGGGTTGAGGACAGAGAGAGAGGAAATCAAGGGAGTTGAGGCAGTGATTATAATGAGGAGGCTTAGAACCTGCTGAGGGAGAAGGGCAACAAGGACGCAAGGGACGTTGATGGAAGACGCAAAAGTCAGAGGGTAAAGAGACTGAAGGTACCTGAGGAGTCAGGAAAATGCTGGAGTGGCGGAGCCAGCCAGAGAGGGGAACAGAACTGGACTGACAGGAGGTCAGCAGATAATGGGAGGCTCAAAATCAAGATTTTGGAAGTGGGGTGCTTCATTTTGGTAATGACATAGTCTAAAGCATGAACAGAGCAGTGGGGTGCTGAAATGCAAGGAGGCAAATCTTTTTGGAAATGAGGAGCTGAGAAAATAAAGGCCCAGGTGTTGGATGAATTGTCTATATGGATGCTGAAGCCACTGAAAATTACAACAGAAGCACCAACGAGAAGAAAACAGTGAGCCAGGAGCTGAAGAGCTGTATGGAGTGCAATAAGAAGGATGGCAGGTGGTACATGAGCTTCCAAGGAGCTGGGAAGTCTTAGAAAGAAGAAACTAAAACCTAAAAGCAATGAAAAGCAGAGCGGTCACTTCCTGCATTTCCAGGCCCAGAGGAAGTTAATTTAGAAAAAAAAAAATGACTGTTTGACAAGAATATGAGGAATACTGTCCCTTCAGAAGAGAACCTAAAGTCTCCAGTAAAAAAGATGAAAGGAAACCTCTGTCTGGGCACAGTAGCTCACGCCTGTAATCCCAGCACTTTGGAAGGCCAAGGCAGGAGGATCACTTGAGGCCCGGAGTTTGAGACCAGCCTGGGAAACATAAAGAGACCCCATCTCTACAAGTAAATCAAAAATTAGGCCAGGCGCAGTGGCTCACGCCGGTAATCCCATCACTTTGGGAGGCCGAGGCAGGCAGATCATCTGAGGTCAGGAGTTCAAAACCAGCCTGGCCAACACAATAAAACCCCATCTCTACTAAAAATACAAAAATTAGCCGGGCTTGGTGGCAGGCACCTGCAATTCCAGCTACTTATGAGGCTGAGGTAGGAGAATTGCTTGAACCTGGGAGGTGGAGGTTGCAATGAGCTGAGATTGCACCATTGCACTCCAGCGTAGGTAATGAAATGAGATTCCGTCTCAAAAAAAGAAAAAACTGAACCAGGCAGTGTGGCATGTGCCTGTGGTCGCAGCTACTTTTGAGGCTAGGGCAGGAGGATTGCCTGAGCCCAGAAGGTCAAGGATACAGTGAGCTGTGATTGCACACTGGCCTGGGCAACAGAGTGAGACATCCTGTCTCAAAACAAAAGTCTGAGAAGTCGGAAATTGCAGGGATTTTACACATGAAAGACCATGAGTTTCAGAGACTCACTGTGTTCAAGGAGTCCATAGTCACACACATTAATACCTGCAGATTTTCAGAAAGGATGAAAAAGAAACTGTCGACCAGGCATGGTGGCTCATGCCTGCACTTTGAGAGGCCGAGACAGGAGGATCACCTGAGGTCAGCAATTCGAGACCATCTTCACCAACATGGAGAAACTCCATCTCTACTAAAATTATAAAATTAGCCAGATGTGGTAGCGCATGTTTGTAATGCCAGCTACTCAGGAGGCTAAGGCAGGAGAATTGCTTGGACCCAGGAGGCAAAGTTGCAGTGAGCCAAGATCGCACCACTGCACTCCAGCCTGGGCAACAAGAGCAAAACTCCGACTCAAATAAAATAAAAATAAAAAGAGGCCAGGCGCAGTGGCTCATGCCTATAATCCTAGCACTTCACCTAGAGGCCGAGGTGGGTGGATTGCCTGAGCTCAGGAGTTCGAGACCAGCTTGGGCAACACGGTGAAACCTCGTCTCTACTAAAATACAAAAAATAAGCCAAGTGTGGTGGTGTGTGCCTGTAATCCCACCTACTCTGGAGGCTGAAGTAGGAGAATTGCTTGAATACGGGAGGTGGAGGTTGCAGTGAGCCGAGATCGCACCACTGCACTCCAGCCTGGGCGACAGAGCGAGACTCCGTCTTAAAAAAAAAAAAAAAGGGAAAAAAGAAAAGAAACTGTCAACAGCCTGGAAAATGACCAGGCCTCTTCCAACCCAGAGTCAATAAAATTTAAGTCCTGACTCCGACCTGTGAGTGGCAGAGAAGGAATGACCCTGTCAGACACCCTATTGAGGGGATGCCCATAGCAGGTGGGGAGTCCTCACAGATACATCCCATAGACCCCTACACTGAGCTCTGTGACTCCATGCATTTCGCTATGTTTTCTTTTTTTTTTTTTTTTTTTTAGTATGGAATGTTTCACAAATTTGTGTGTCATCCTTGCACAGGGGCCATATATGCGAAGTGAGGACTGTTTTCTTGGCCTCCTTCTAGCTGTGATGGTTTATGAATCTCCTGGAAGCCAGCTCTGGGTCCAGTCCTGTCTTGAGGAAATTAAACCAGAAAGGCACAGAGTATACACGAGAACCCAACAGCATCATCTGATACAAGCCCATACTCCCACTGACCCACAGTATCTTTGCTTATCTAATTACATGCATGCACACACAAACACACCAGGCAAGAAAACCCACAACCAGGTCAGGCACAGTGGCTCGTGCCTGTAATCCCAGCACTTTGGGAGGCCGAGGCAGGTGGATCATTTGAGGTCAGGAGTTTGAGACCAGTCTGGCCAACATGGTAAAAACCTGCCTCTACTAAAAATACAAAAATTGGGTGGCACACATCTGTAATCCCAGCTACTCAGGAAGCTGAGGCAGGAGAATCGTTTGAGCCCCGGAGGCAGAGATTGCAGTGAGCCAAGATCGCACCACTGCACTTCTGCTGGGCGACAGAGCGAGACTCTGTCTCAAAAACAAAAAGAAAACCTGCAACCATTACACATGCGACCACCCACACCCTTTCTTGTGGCCACATCATCACACTCAGCACTATCACCTGCTCAACACAGTGTCCCATAATCATGGTCTCACAAAATCTCAGTCCCAGACCTCGGCCTACCTGGAGCAGATGGGGCAACTGCTGGGTAACCAGCTCCTTAAACTCAGTGGGGTTGAGGCTGCCCTTCTGGCCCTCCTGCTTCGCAAAGGTGAAGAAGGTGGTGACCACGGTCTCAATGGCCAGCTCCAGCTCTGTCAGTGGTTCTGCTGCCATTAGGACCCTGAGGCCGAAGCTGATGTCCTCAAGGGGCTGGCTGACCTTTGTCAGGGACACAGAAGGAGCAGAGAGGGAGAGTCAGGGAGGCCTAGATGCAGGAATGGTCAGAAGGCCACTGCCTTGGTGTTACCACCTCAGGTCCCGGCCTGGAGGGGGCGTTATGGGGAGAGTGAGAGAATAGGGGTTGAGCTTGGAGCAGCAGATCAGGCAACAGCATCTCAGTTTAGGTGGGGGCAGGAGGTTCGGTAGAAACCCCCTCTTCTGTAGGTCTCACAGTCTGGGGTCCTTTTTAGGTGTCTGTGGCTTAGGGACCCCTCTGTGGTGATCCCTTCGTCTGGAGACCCCCTTTACCTGAGAGGAGGTTTTCAGTCTGAGGGTCCTTCTTGGAGTCCTTTGAGTCTGGTGGCTCCTCTGTGGGGTGTCTGTCTCAAGAGTCCCTTTTTGTCTCACCCAGCCTCACAGGGTCATGAGGTTGTTTGTCTCCAAAACTTGTTTATGTTGGGCCCTGGTCTCCTGAGCCCGCATCCGCCCACACACACTCAGCGCTGCTCTTCCCAGCAGAGAAGCACAGGGTCTGGCAAACGTCCCGCTGTGGTCAGAGCTGGCATTTTCTCTGCCCTGCTCCACCCTCACCTCTCCTCAGAGGCAGCAGGGCAGAGTGCTGAGCCCGGGACCCCACAGGTTCCCCCCACTCCTGTCTCCCGGGGACAAGGGTCCTGGAATGGGGCGCCTCTGATCCCCTACCCCAGGACTGGTTTAGTCCAAGCACTTACAGCCCCCGGGGGTGCAGTGGGTGGGGCAGGAGGGAGGCATTCTCATTTCCGCCCACCCGTCCACCCCCCAAGCACTCCTGCACGCACTGTTGCCGTCCACCCCCCACGCACTCCTGCACGCACTGTTGCCGTCCACCCCCCACGCACTCCTGCACGCACTGTTGCCGTCCACCCCCCACGCACTCCTGCACGCACTGTTGCCGTCCACCCCCCACGCACTCCTGCACGCACTGTTGCTCGATCACCCAAAGCTGCTTCCTGAATTTCTGCCTGAGCTGGCTCTGGGGGAGGGACCTGTGAGCCCAGGAATTAAAAATGATCTCCAGGCTCCCTCCAGGGTCCGTCAAGAGACTAACCGTGCAAGGAGATGGGGTGCAGCGAGCTGGAGCCTCAGGGCTGAGGTTTATAAGCGGCGAGGAGGGGGGAAAGAGTAGAGAGCAGCAGCTTCCAAGCCCGGAGGTGTCAGATTTCTATGGTCGATCCTGAAGACCAGAGACCGCCCAATCGCGCCTCTCGCCTGAACCGTCAGGCCTGGACCCGGGCTCCCTGCCAGCCACACGAGCGCCCCCACTTGGTCAAGGAGAGGAGCTGCCTGGACAAATGTTCAGCAGGGGTCCCAGGGTCCCACTCCTCTCAATATTGGGGGCTGCTGCCACCACACCCCACATCTAATCAGGAGTGTGTATGCTGAGTGGGGGAAGGGGGAGGCAACCAACTGAGGGAGCTCAACATTGGGAGGCCCAATCTGAGATACAAACGTTGGCCCCTAGCTGGGCATGGTGGTGTGTGCCTGTAATCCCAGCTGGGAGGCTGAGGCAGGAGAATTGCCTGAACCCAGGAGGCGGAGGTTACGGTGAGCCGAGATCGGGCCATCACACTCCAGCCTGGGTAACAAGAGCGAAACTCCATCTCAAAAAAAAATTAGACCCCCCCCACAGGCAGGGCGCAGTGGCTCACGCCTGTAATCCCAGCACTTTGGGAGGCGGAGGCGAGGGGATCATCTGAAGTCAGGAGTTCCAGATCAGCCTGACCAACATGATGAAACCCTGCCTCTACTAAAAATACAAAAATTGGCCGGGTGTGGTGGTGTATGCCTGTAATGTCAGCTACTCAGGAGGTTGAGGCAGAAGAACCATTGGAACCCAGGAGGCAGAGGTTGCAGTGAGCCTAGATTGCGCCATTGCACTCCAGCCTGGGTGACAGAGTAAGACTCAGTCTCAAAAAAAAATGAGACCCACAAAGGATGCTACAGACCAAGATCCCTCAGAGAACCCCAGGCTGAGGCCCCACACACAGAGAGGGATCCAAGTTGAGACCCCCAAGAGTCTGGGATTGAAATCCCTCTGTGGGGTCTCAGACTCCCAAGACTAAGTTACTCATTGAGGGTCCTCTCAGTGAGGTTGCATGGAGGAGCCACAGACTAAGACCCCCTCAGCAGAATTCCCCCCTTCCCCGGCTCAACCAGCACAGCCAGCCGCAGGTGCTGCAGGGCCCAGCTTGGGGTGAGAGGTCCAGTTCCTTCCCAGGATCTCCTTCCCACCTCTTCCCCTGCACCATCCGCTGCTGCCCAGAGAGAAAGGAACGGGCCAAGCAAGGCTGGAAAGAGACAAGGGCCGCCTGTTCCAGCCCAGGAGACAGAGGGCGCCTCTGTCAGCTCCTGGCCCTTTGCCCCACAGGGTGTCTGCCTGTGAAGGGGTGGAGTCAGTGGCGGGGGGTCAGCGGGGGAGGGACGGCTGAAGACAGGTCTCCACACACAGCTCCAACAGCCACATTTGAAGCCTCGGCCGTCTGTCCAGAACCTGCTCCCACCTCAGGCCCAGGCTGACCGTGAGTACCCTGCCCTACTGGGCTGGTCCTGGCCGGCCAGGTTTGGGGAGAGGGGTCTTCAGAAGGGCTCTGAAGAGCTGGGGACCATAGCGCTGTGGAGCACTGACGATCTGGCAGGAGTCAGTCAGGGTGAGGGCAGTTTGGGATCTGGGGGAGACAGGGTCTGGAAGGTGGTGAGGAGAGGCAAATGAACCAAAGGTCAGAGAGAGCTGGCAGCTCAGCAAAGGAGGAGGCCAGTGGGAAACCCACCCTGAGCTTCCTGGCCACCTGGCCCTCCCCAGGGAGCCCTCAAGTCCCTGCCAAGCCCCCTTCTGTCTCCCAGGTGTTGGGGAGGGCCCCCTGCACTCTCCTGCCTCACTTCCTGTGGGTGAAAAGAGAGCAGATGCAACAGCTGTTTCTGCCCCCACCCCTCCTGCCTGCCTTAGTCTCTGCCACCCCTCCTGCCTGCCTTGCCAAGAGCTCAGGTCCCTTGGAGTCTGGGGTGGCAGGGCGAGCCTCCCATGATATGGGGAAGGGGATGGAGGGTGCTGTGCCCATTCCCAACACTGCCTCCTCAGGGCCTCCCCTTTCTCCTTCTCCCCTTTTTGGCCCAGAGCTCTTGACTCCTCTTTCCCCCAATTCTTTCCTCTTTGTTTTCCCATCTGCCCCACCCCCAAGTCCTCTCAGAACTGGCCCCACATAAAATCCCAGGCTGCTCTAGGGCTCCACGCGACCTCCAGCTGCCCCTCTGGCATGGAGCGGGTAATCAAGCCTCCAGCATCCCTCCCTCGAGCAGCCTTTATCCCCTCATCAGCTATGGCTTGGGTTCCATCTCCCTCATGTCTCTGTGACAACCACTTCTCAGGTCCGGAGCTCAGATGACACTTACAAGGGCCCCATTGAAGAACTGGGATGTCATTCGATCAGGGCCCATTGTCTAGCCCCCTAGGCCTGGGGAAGGATGGGGACATCTGATCCCAGACATCTGAGCTGCCCCCATGGGGCTGTGGGGGGCCAGACTGTCCCAGGGCCAAGGGAAAGAGGCCCCCTGGTTTGGCAGTCTCCTCTCTCAACAGACCCCTCCTTTCTTCTACTCTCTCCTGGCCCCTCGAACTCAAAGGACCACATGCTCTCAGCCCTTTATCTCCCCCATCACATACCAGCCCCACTCCCCCTGCTCTCACTGTCCCTGAATCAACCAGGGCAATCACAGGGACAATGCCTGCAGGTCTCCTCTCCCCATCCCTGGGAACCCTGGCTCCAGGGAAAAGGCTCAGACATTCCTCTCTCCCCTCCCACCACCCACTAGACGGAAAGGATAATTTTGCAGAGGTTATAGAAGCATACCTCAGAGAAGTCAGAATGACACGTTCAGGAGGGAACAGAGTTGAAGGACCAAAAGGGGCCCCAGCTGCTGACAAGAATCTCAGAGCCAGCGAGACTTCCCTCCTCCAGAAGCCTTAGACCACCCACTGGGGCTGCCACCCCATCTGCCAGGCTGACCGGGGGCATCAGACTGACACCTTTGCTAGGGGTGGGCAGCAGAGGCAAGGCTGTAGTGGACACCCCAGCCCACCACCCTCAACAGCAGGGCTCAGCTATGCTAGGCAGGCAAGGTCCAAGGTAAAAATAGAGCCAGAGAAAGCATGGCCCAGTCCTGTGACCACCCCTGCCTGCCCCACCCTCCTCAATCCCTGCCTGGGCAGCCACCGCAGACATCTACCACAGGCCTCTGGAGCCAGCCCAGCTCCAACTGCTCTCTCCATGCCCCAACCCTGATTCCTTCTGGCTGGAGTACAGACTGAGGGACAGGAAGAACAGGTCTGCATTTAGGTCTGCTGGGGTTTCCCTCACATTGTAAAATCTCAGGGAAAGATCAATTGCAGTAGGGCTCTAATCCCACAGCTATTTGAGCTGTCAGCCAGGGCCAGGCCCGAGGGCTCCCCTCACCTAGACCCCAGGTACTCGGGGCCTGGTCCTCAGCTCCTTTCCTTGATGGGGTTGGGTAGGTGCACTGCCGCAATGGGCTCTGAGCTGGAGACGGCGATGGAGACCCTCATCAACGTGTTCCACGCCCACTCGGGCAAAGAGGGGGACAAGTACAAGCTGAGCAAGAAGGAGCTGAAAGAGCTGCTGCAGACGGAGCTCTCGGGCTTCCTGGATGTGAGCACAGAGTGGTGGAGTGGACGTGGACTGGGTGAAGGGGTGTGGGAACGGGGTGGGCACCCCCCTGCTGTCTCCCCACCCCACTACCAGCTCAGCCCAACCTCCTTCTTTCCTTTGCCAGGCTTCTCTCCTGGTTTTTTCCAGGCTCCTCTACTCCTCCAGGGTCAAGTCAAAATGCCCTGGTTTATTGATCACCTGTTACGTGTTAGGCCCTGCATAGATTCGTCAATAATAAGACTCACAGTATGGCCGGGTGAGGTGGCTCACACCTGTAATCCCAGCACTTTGGGAGGCCGAGGCGGGTGGATCACCTGAGGTCAGGAGTTCAAGACTAGCCTGGCCAACGTGGTGAAACCCCATCTCTACTGAAAATACAAAAATAGCCGGGCGCGGTGACTCACGCCTGTAATCCCAGCACTTTGGGAGGCCGAGGCAGGTGAATCACGAGGTCAAGAGATCGAGACCATCCTGGTCAACATGGCGAAACCCCGTATCTACTAAAAATACAAAAAAATTAGCTGGGCATGGTGGCACATGACTATAATCCCAGCTACTCAGGAGGCTGAGGCAGGAGAATTGCCTGAGCGGAGGTTGCAGTGAGCCGAGATTGCGCCATTGCACTCCAGCCTGGGTAACAAGAGTGAAACTCCGTCTCAAAAAAAAAAAGAAAATACAAAAATAAGCTGGGTGTGGTGGTGAGTGCCTGTAATTCCAGCTACTCGGGAGGCTGAAGTAAGAGAATCACTTGAACCAGGGAGGCAGAGGTTGCAGTGAGTCGAGATCGTGCCATTGCACTCCAGCCTGGGTGACAGAGCGAAACTCCATCTCAAAAAAAAAGAAAAAGAAAAAGACTCACAGTCTAGAAGAGAAAGACTGATACTTAAAAGTAAACCACGAGGGCAGGTGCAGTGGCTCACACCTGTAATCCCAGCACTGTGGGAGGCCAAGGCTGGCGGATCATCTGAAGTCAGGAGTTCCAGACCAGCCCGGCCAATATGGTGAAACCCTGTCTCCAAAAAAAAAAAAAAAAGTTTT